GGTGGTAGCTATGATACTCTTGCTTGTAGTTTATTCCTTCATCCGACGAGCTTGGTTTATTTGAAAAGTAGGTCGAAATTTTGTATTCACGATTACGGATTTGTGAAGATTCGTTTCACGAGCAGCAGCACATCAGCTGTGCCAGGCACTCCAGCTATGGGCGCGAACATCTTCTGATTGAAAAGAGCACCAGTTCTTTGCGAACATCGCTACCAGCAAATAGGATTGTGCGAGATGACGGAACTTTTGCTAAAACTACTCTGTCCTGGTATGGCTGGAATCACATCAATCTGCACTTGATTTGTGTAACTAACTTACAGTAACTAGCTTACATTGTACATGACTGATTGTTACTGTACATGTATGAAAATACATGTACAACTAGGACCATGGTAACTGACTGTGAAGTTGTGTGCATGGGCAAATGTACTGATGACATTCATTTGGAACTTCATTGCCATAAATTATTATGAGACTAAAAAACAATTGCGAATCATAATGTGGTGTCAATATGTGACCTGAGAATAATATAATATTATAATACAAATTTAAATCATGATGTTACGTGACAAATGCGCAAAAAATAAACATGGCTGCTTAAGGGTACCCGTTAACCCGCCCGTTGAGAAAACTACTCGTTCGTTAGTTAAAGGTACACCCATTTGACCCCTGTTTTTTTTTATTATAAAAAGCACTACGGGCTTTCAGGGCAAACTGTAGACCATGGGAAAAGGCCAGAAACCGGGCCGAAAATAAAACTCCTTATCTTCTGGTTCAATAGTTCATTAGCACCATACCCCTCACACAGTCATACTCAGCCCAAGGCAACAAGGAATTGTTTTGGAGATAGTGTGCTGCTTTGAGTAACTGGTCTTGTAATGCAAAAGCTCAAAGAGCTGGAAAGCAATGCCAGGCCACTGGCAGCAACGGGCTCGCGCGGAGCCGCAATAAACCCACGTTGTGCCACAAATTGTTGCCAATTGCAAGGCAAAGCTAATGCAATTGGCAACACCTGGCTCGTGAAGAGCCGCGACTGGCTCTTGATGAGCCGCAACTAGCGAAGCGAATGACCAGTTAGGAACGATGAAGCTAAATGTTTCCTAGCACCATTAGCAAGAGGATAAGATGGGAGGGATAGAGGGTGAATATTTGATGCGATCACAAGCTAAAAGTCATCACTATTTAGACTTTGAAGTGAAGCCAACGACAAGAAAGAAAGAGAAAGTTCAAAGGAAGCAGGTGTGCGACGCCAGGCTAAGCATGCCCAAATCCATGCGCTGGCAGTGTGAGTGCAGCGAGCAAAAGTTAAAAGGAAGCAGTTGTGCGACGTCAGGCTAAGCATGCCTAAATCTATGCGCTGGCAGTGTGAGTGCAGTGCGCAAAGCACTGATGCAGCGGTGCGCGGCAAATGCAAACATGGCAGTGTGGTCGGTGGATGCTAACACACACTAACTACATTACTGCAACAGAAACCTTCAAAGAACAATTTGCCATGCCCTAACAAGCCCTTCTATGTACTTTGGTGTCCGAATTTCCCTTATCTTCGAACTTTTTAAGACCAAACCTGATTGGACTCGGATGGAGAGCCAATGGTACATTTATAGAAAAGAAAAGGACCAAGGAACTACAAGTTACGCTATAATGTCCACTAACACCACCAGTTACGAAACAATCAGCTCATGCGATAACATTGCACGACACGTTCCTTGGTCCTTTTTCTTTTCTATAACACGTGCTTGTTAATCTTTATGAAATGGCCTGTAGATCAAGTTGAAGTCAGCATGTCATTGTTCTTGTACTGTGGGTTGCGGACACAGCGTTATTTCCAATTGGTGCCGGGACCTATGGCCCATGAATGGGATCTTCATCTTCCCAGCACTGACCACAATGGAAAGGTTTGCCATTCTGTATCACAATTTGTGGATTCCCCAAATAAAGTATATGTACCACAATGGAAAACAGATACCGTTCTTCCCCGAATACAAGTCGCACCCTTTTCCACTGAACTGCAGGGCAAGCAAAGCGGATTCTACTTTTGATCAACTGATCATGACTCACTACTGAAGTGGATCTGTTGAACTGATTTGATAGGCCTGAGAATGGGGATGCGACTTGCAATCGAGCGTGACTCACCCTCGGGGAGAATACGGTATAATTATACACACTGAGTGCGTTTGATCTTGCCCATGAATCAACGTTGAATCCATTCACGAATCGCCCCTGGATATGTGAACAGGGTAGATATGAATAGGGTAAATGGATTGTGAGCCCATTCCAGGGCTCATGGCATGAAATTGAACGACGAGATTCCATTCATGAATCGATCCATGGCACCTGTGCAGGGATACCTTGATGGGGGACTTTCCCACTGTACGGTTTGCTAATGGTTGACCTGTGTTCTTCTGTGCAGGGATACATTGATGGGGAACTTCCCAGGTGGTGCAATATTGAGCTTGGAGGTGGAACCATAATAGCACAACTCGGTCTGAATGGACCCAAGGTGAGCCACGACATTCAAACACACAGGACCTGGCTTTGACGCTCATTGTTTGCCAGAAAGCTGTGCGTCTGATGTACGCTAAATTGGCTCAGTATTGAGTGTCCACTGGATGATTGCACATAGGCGACTGGATGTGCCTCCAAACTCAATATTGTTCTGGGTTCATATAGGGACAATGAATAATGAAAACTGAAAATGGACCGCTCTGACAACCTTTTTGGCCACTAAAACCTATATCCAAATTCTTGTTCCCATATGGGAACGATGGGAGGATACAGGTTTTTAATTAGTTAATAGAGTTTTACAAAGGTGGCAAGGCCGTATTCCGCTTGTTCATTGTCATTCTCTTCAAACCCGAAAACATGCACACACACTCTCCTCCTCGTGTAAGGTGATTGGCTATGCGTTGCGCATGGGAGATTGCGGCTGAGTGGAATGGTTCTAGTCTGAGGAGGCTGGGCATTATGGTGGGCATTCAGGCTTCATTTCTAATCAAACTTGGCCATGCACGCCGTGCCGAACTGATGCATATGTTGTACCTGTGCCTGCACGTGTTATCTCTTCGTCGTAGCTGCTGCTGTATTTGTGTCTCTGTGTGTACATGTGGCTGCACGTGTTGTCTCTTTGTCGTATCTGCTGCTGAATTTGTGTCTCTGTGCTGCTGATCCGTACATGCTGCTGCACTGCTTTGTTGCTGACACGTGCACCTTTTTGTGCTGACGAGGGCACCAATTTCTGATATCATGTTTTCCTTTTGCCATGTCAGTCGTCAGTTGTCCGACGTTCGTCGTCAGTTGTCAGACGTTCGTTGTCAGTCGTCAGTTGTTTGTTGACAGTCGTCAGTCATTCGTTGTCAGTGTTAGTTCTCCATTATGAGTTATGCCGTCGCCGCTTGAACTAAACTATGAAAAGCTCTCTCTCTCTAGCTCTAGAGAAAAACCACTTGACTAGTTCGTTTTGAGGTGTGACGTGGCGAGGAAATTTCGCCAAAAGCTGGGGGTCCACTTACAAACGGAACTCGACTTACATACGGGAATCTGGCACAACAAATGAAGTGACTGAGTGTCCGTACAAAAATGCACTACCGAACGAACCATGTGAACTTTCGTTCCGCGAGTGTCAAGTCACTTCCGCGCGCGCAGTGCGATGTGTTGCTGTACTGTAGTGATAGCCACGGAGACAGCACCCATAGTGGAGTTGCACACTCTGGGGGGTTATGTACTCTTGGCGCTATACATTCGCAGTTTGAGGCCAGAACTGTGTCGACAAAAGGAGCACATCAAGGTGCTGCGGCTGTTCAAGTCGCAACTGGACTGACAACTTTATCACGTGTTTGTTCTGGTACTGCATTCCCTTCATGTGTTATTTCCTGCAATTTTTCTGCTGCTAGATACATTCTTATGGTAGTGTAGTGTGAACTTGAGCCGCGTACGAATATTCTTGCTGATTCTCTACCCCCAGTATAAATTCTGGCTTCGTTTTCATTCTTGCTCATTCCCTTGTAACCACTAATGACTATGGGTGAAAAGCTTTTGGTATTATGAAATTGACAACCTTGTTGTTGTATGTATATATTATTTTCTTTTATCTCACGATGTCCGTAGCCAATAAGAGAGAGAGACAGTACTATGTGTTATAAATCAGAGTGGGTGCAATAAACCGGGAGAAACAGTGGCTAGTGGCAGCCGTGGTTTGGGTGCTTCATTTTAAGTAAAGACGAAGAAGGAAGTATATCCATTGCGAAGGCAGGTAGGCGATAGAGCTTGATTCAAATAGTATACCTAGGCTGGGATACAGCGGGGTTGGAGCATGTGCAAATTGATGATACTATGGTCGGGGTAACTTCTCTTTTGAATGCATTTATTTCTCAGAGGGAGTAACAGTGTGGTAGCAGGTGGTTGTACTGAGTGCATGCGGAGTACAAGGGTGAACGTTGAAAGTGGGTGGAGTGGGCGGTGGGGAGGGCAAAGATTCGATGACGCCTCAATTCTTGGCTTGGTGGCATCTTGTTGTTGAACATTCATAGCTGACATAGCCAGAGAACCATATTCGATAACGGGGCGTATATACGTGGTGTACAGTGCTGACAGGGCGGTGGTTGAAAGACATCTACGAATCCATTTCAAGAGGTGGAGAGTGCGCGCAACTTTCCTCTCGATGCGCTGGATGTGGGCATTCCACTTCAGGTTGGCCTGAATGATGAGACCCAGGTGTCGCTGGCTCTGGACTCTGCTCAGTGTTTTGCCTCTCAACGTTATTGTCAGGGGAAGGCACCGCACAGTGTCATCACGACCGTCTTCGTTTCGTTGACGGTCAAGTGCCAGGTGTCGAACCACTTATCGGCTTTAGTCACACTGGACTGGAGCACTCGCTCTGCTGTCGCTGCTGAGTGGTTGCTAGCGATTAAGGTGGTGTCGTCGGCAAAGAGGCTGCTTCGTGTGGCTTGGGAGTTGCAAGCTGCTGGTAGGTCCATCGTGTACACGAGGAATGGCAGCGGGCCGAGTTCCGATCTCTGGGGGACTCCTGCAGGGATGTGAAGCCAATCGGAGGCTGTGCTTCCGATTCGGACCCGCTGCCTCCGACCCAGGAGGTAGCTCTCAAACCAGCGGAGTGCTGCACCCCTTACGCCATGGTGTTCAAGCTTGTGCAAGAGGCCACGGTGCCACAGGCGGTGGAAGGCCTTGGAGAGGTCAAAGAAGCAGATGTGGGCTGACTTCTTGACCTCAAGGTCCGCAGCATGTTCGTGCAGCAGGCGGCTTATTTGATACTCTGTGCTGTCGTTCTTCCTGAAGCCTGACTGTTCTGGAGGGAGATGGGATTGGATATGCCTGTAGAGGGCTTTGTGGGCGATTCTTTCTTGCAGTGTTGATACGACGGGTAGGAGGGAGATAGGACGATAGTTTGTGGAACAGATTCGACTTCCCATCTTGAAGATTGGAGACACCATGGCATCTTGCCAGTCTCTCTGGACTTTTCTGTGGGTGAAGGAGTGGTTGAAAACTATTGTTAAGGAAGGGGCGATGAGGTCGGCAGTGAGCTTCAGAAGAATAGACGGGACTCCGTCCGGACCAGCGCTTTTGTTGGTGTCAATGTGACGAAGGAGCTCAAGTACCTCCACTTCAGTGCCGGTGACATCCTGGAGTGTCCTGTCAGTAACCCTCGGCATGTGGATGGGAGGAGGAGGGCCGGTGCACCCATGGAGTGACTGCCTGCTCTGCTCAACGAAGAAGTTGTTGAAGGTTGTAGCCTTGTCGAGGTCAGAGCTCGCCGTGACCACGATTTTTCTTCTTTTTCTTCTTTTTCTCCTTTATTCTTTTTCTTTCCTTCTTTTCTCTTCTTCCTTTGCTGAGAGCCTTCTGTTCCCATATTTTCTTTTCATCTGTGTCCCCATTCCTGGGTTACTTGGACTTCATTCGCTTCCTTGTCATTGGACATGTTCAGTCCGCTCGGTTTGCGAATTCAAATAAACACAACCACCCAACCAGCTAATAGTGTTCCCATCACATTCCAAGTCGGGAACGCCGCGCTGTACTGAGGTTCTAAGGAGGGACATCACATTTTACAAGTTGCGGCGACTGAACGCCACTCCATGCTCATCCACCGTGTCCTCTCTTACTAGGTATCTGTGCACATAGTCAGACTTAACGGACCGCAGCTTGGCCGTGACACTGTTATGTTACGCATTGTAGGCGCTCCATTATTCAGTTGAGCGAGTCGATAGGTACGCTTGGAATAGAGAGTGCTTCTTCTTAATCTTACTCCTGAGGGTCGGCGTAATCCAAGGCTTCGATGCCCGTCGTGTACTGTGATTATGCAGTCGCTGGTTAGTTAGGTGGGGCTTGGTACAAAACCTTCGTGCAGTGTTTAGTGGACTCGTCCTCTAGTGCTGCCACAGATCCTCAGTGCTCTTGGATTCAAGTGGTCCAGGAGGCGGAAGATTAGTTTCTCCAAGGGCAGAATTAAGCTCTGTAACTCTGTCAGAGTCCCAGCACCAAGACCAGCTCCTGGGCTGGACTGCAGCGACGATCGGGATTGGTCGAGTTGGCAGTTCAAGGGTGCCTAAGATGGCTAAGTGGTCGGGGTTGCATAGCGGTGGGAGAGGGTGCACTGATGTGGGATGTAGGGTACATGTATACCAGCGCCTTTAAAGCCATGGCCTTATATTTAAAACACCGCTGCTTTCCTAGATATTTTAGATGCAAAAATGACTCACCCTCTACGCCATGCCTTAAAAGTCAAAGTCCACACAGAAATATCAATCTAAATCTACTTGTTCACCCTTCCTGCTGGGCTCTAAGTGTGTTAGCATAGTACTTATTCCTTCGTTTTTGCAAAATATACTTCAAATGTCATTTAATTCATGAAGCCCATGGCTTTATTACTGAGACTGGCTTTATAATCGAATATACCTCCATGGCTTTAATAAAGGTGCGGACATACAGTATATAATATACTCAATCTGCGGACAGAACTGTTTCGTCCTTTGTGGACTCGTCAGCGCAGCACAGAGGAAGTGAGGCCGAACCTGGTAGCAATGAAAAATAAATTTTCCAAAGCCAGATTTAAAGCAGGCCCGAACGTACCTTGCCAGAGTGCTCAAACTGAAAAGTCAGTAAGCTCTGCATAACGCAAACAGCAAAGGCACTACCCCACGCAAGAGTGCTCAACTGCTACAAGAGCAGGAGCGAAATACTCAATCTGCGGACAGAACTGTTTCGTCCTTTGTGGAGCTCCTCAGCACAGCTCAGAGGACCTAAGCGCAGCTTTTCGCATTGGAATACGTTTCCATGAAGCAAAGCATTTTTATAAAGAGCTGCAAACCCCGCCAAGAGTGCTCGAAATGCTCCAAGAGCAGTGAGCGTTGCACAAGGCTAGCGGCAAGGGTTCGCGCTAAGGTAAGAGTGCTCAACCTAACGACATTGCTGACTGCTAGGGAGCATAATACTCAAATCTGTGGACAGCAACTGTTTCGCTCTGTTAGAGCTCCTCAGCACAGCTCA